TTTTACTTTAAAAAATAAGTAAATACTTTTATAGAAAGTAATACAGTAGAACCTCAGAGTTACAAACACCAGAGTTATGAACTGACCGGTCAACCACACATCTCATTTGGAACCACAAGTACGCAATCAGGCAGCAGAGACCAAAAAAAAAAAAAAAAAGGGGCAAATAATGTACAGTACAGTATTGTGTTAAATGTAAACTACTAAAAAAATTAAGGACAAGTTTTAAAAAAAAGATTTGACAAAGTAAGGAAACTGTTTCTGTCCTTTTTATTTAAATTAAGATAGTTAAAAGCAGCATTTTTCTTCTATATAGTAAAGTTTCAAAGCTGTATTAAGTCAATGTCCAGTTGTAAACTTTTGTAAGAACAACCATAACATTTTGTTCAGAGTTACAAACATTTCAGAGTTACAAACCCCTTGGGGATGGAGGTTGTTCGTAACTCTGAGGTTCTCCTGTACATTACAAAGAAACCTTTTATGCTTACGAGGGCATTTCCAAATAGTGGGCCAAATCCTGTACCGCAGTGGTGGGCAACCCGCGGGCCGCACGTGGCCGATCAGGGTAATCAGGAGTCAGTGGGGGGTCTGCACTGTCAGAGTGTACTGATTAACATTTTCGTAGCTGTGCCTTGTTTTAAGTAGCATCTGCTCTATGTTGTCCTCAGCCACAGTTGCCAGGCCTTCACCTTCTTTTAGATCCCCTTGTGTGGGGGAGCGATGGGAAGAGAAGGTCTGCCTCCTTACCCTTCTGATCATGAAGAGAGAGAAAGTAGAGTGAGGGGGACTGGGGATAGGGTAAAATGATGGGAGAGGCAGAAATTTAAAGGGGAGGGAGATTTGGGGGAAGAGACTGAGGGAAAGGTGACCCCAAAAATAACTTCACTGGGGCCCTTACAACTCTAAATCTGACCTTAACCAAGGAGAAATGCATGGCGAGCACAATTAAGGACAATGAGTTTTAAAAATATATTAGGAACAAAAAGAATTGTGACAATGGTATTGGTCCATTACTAGATGAAAATGGTAGAATTATCAATAATAGTGAAGAAAACACAGAAGTGTTCAATACATATCTGTTCTGTATTTGGGGAAAAAACAGATGATATCACATCATATGGTGATAACACTCTTTCCATTCCACTAGTATCTCTGGAGGATGTTAAACAGAAGCTACTAACGTTAGACATTTTTAAATCAATAGGTGTCAGGAGAGCAGGGTCATAGGCAGTCTAACCTAGTGGTCTGAGCAGAAGTCAGGCCTGGTGGTCAGAGCGAGGGTCAGAACCAGAATGGGAGTCCAAATGCTAGAGACCAGGATCAAGACAGAATCGGAACCAGGGCAGAGAGGCAGAACCGTAGTCAGAGTCCAAATGCCATAGCGCGGCTCAGAACTGTATTAATTGGAGTCAAGGAAGGCAGGGCTGGTTCCAAGTCTGGGGCAAGGCGAGGAGCAGGGCAGGTTCTAGGCTGGAGTGATGCTGGGCGCAGGGAGGCAGAGAATCCATGGGACTGTGCATTGAGCAGCTATCGATCCTCTGCAGCTGCTGGGCTCGAGAGCGAGCCATTTTACTGCCTTAGCCTATCAGGTGATTCTTCTGTGGCCCAACTCCACTCATTGGCTGCCTGGCAACTGGGCAGGTGCCACTGCAGGCCCTCAGTCCTGACAGCAGGTCCAGATAACTTGTATTGAAGAGTTTTAAGAGCTGGCTGAGGAGCTTGCTGGATCATTAATGTTGATTTTCAAAAAGTCTTGGAGCACTGGGGAAGTTCCAGAAGACTTGAAGAAAGCTAATGTACCAATTGTTAAAAAGGGTAAATGGGATGACCGAGGTAATTATAGGCCTGACGTCAATACCCGGCAAGATAGTGGAGTGACTGATATGATAAAGAAGCAAAGGAGAGTAATGTAATTAAATGCAAATCAACATGTGTTTATGGAAAATAGATCCCATTAAACTAACTTGATATCCTTTTTAGATGAGGTTACAAGTTCAGTTGATAAAGGTATTGATGTAATATACTTAGATTGCACTAAGACGTTTGACTTGGTACCGCATGACATTTTGATTAAAAAATTCGAACAATATAAAATTAACATGGCACACATTAAATGGATTAAAAACTGGCTAACTGATAGGTGTGGATATAACTGTAAATGGGGAATCTTCACTGAGCAGATGTGTTGCCAGTCGGGTCCCACAAGGATCTGTTCTTGGCCCTATGCTATTTAACATCTTTATCAATGACCTGGAAGAAAACATAAAATCATCACTGATAAAGTTTTCAGATAACACAAAAGTTGGGGGAGTGGTAAATAATGAAGTAGTCAGGTCACTGATAGAGCAATCTAGATCACTTGGTAAACTGGGTGCAAGCAAACCGTGTGTTTTTAATATGGCTAAATGTAAATGTATACATGTGGGAACAAGAATGTAGACCATACTGACAGGATGGGGGAACTCTATCCTGGGAAGCAGTGACTCTGAAAAAGATTTGGGGGAGGGGGCCAGGCTGATGGATAATCAGCTGGCCATAAGCTCTGAATGAGACATTGTGGCCAAAAGAGCTAATGCGATCCTGAGATGCATAAACAGGGGAATCTCAAGTAGGGGTAGAGAGGTTATTTTACCTCTGTATTTGGCACTGGTTCTGTTGCTGCTGGAATACTGTGTCTGGTTCTGGTGTCCACAATTCAAGAAGGATGTTGATAAATTGGAGAGGGTTCAGAGAAGAGCTACAAGAATAATTAAAGGATTAGAAAACATGCTTTATAGTGATGGACTCAAGGAGCTCAATCTATTTAGCTCAACAAAGACAAAGTTAAGGGGTGACCAGATTACAGTACACAAGTATCTACATGGGGACCAAATATTTAATAATCGGCTCTTTAATCTAGCAGAGAAAGGTATAACACGATCCAATGGCTGGAAGATGAAGCTAAACAAATTCAAACTTGAAATAAGGCATACATTTTTAACAGTGAGAGTAATTAGCCATTGGAACAATTTACCAAGGGTTGTGTTGGATTCTCCATCACTGACAATTTTTAAGTAAAGCTTGGATGTTTTTCTAAAAGAGATGCTCTAGGATTTATTTTGGGGAAGTTCTATGGCCTGTGTTACACAGGAGGTCAGATTAGATGATCACAGTGATCCCTTCTGGCTTAGAATTTATAATCTATGAACCCCTCACTTGGAAGTCATCTGTAGCTGTCAGATTTTTAGAATATTTTTCATCTGGAGACATAAGTGGAACAAGATGTGTAATGGCTGCAAGATGTGTAGTTTGTCAAAGTAACTAGAAAAGTGAGTTCTGCAACATACTAATATGCAGAGCAATGTGACCAGTGGGCAAAAAAAAAAAATCAGAATAAAAAATGATTGTGTGTTGAAGAAAGGCAGGAGACAGAAAAGCTGGATGAAAAGTTACAATGAAATCTGAGGGCTAAATGATATTAAATTGTACTGGCATAAAGACAGCCCTTAGGATGAAACTCAAGGGGTGAAATACTGGCCCCACTGAAGTCAATGACAAAATTCCTGTTGGCTTCAGTGGAGCCAGAATTTCACCCAACGTGTGTAATGCTTGGATCTCTAGATGCATAGTACTGTATATTTGGAGGAAAGGGTGGCAGCTGTACTGCTGTGAGTATCTGCCAGCTTTTTTCTTGCAGAAGAAAGTGTAATGCGACAAGGGTGGTACTGATAAGGGAGGAATGGGGCTTTGGAAATGAGAAATTCCTTGGAAGATGAGACTTGTTTAAAATGGAGAAAGCAAAGTAAACTGTAATAATCAGAAGCCATTTAGAAAAGGAAGTGAATGAAACAAGTATGATATTATTTTCTCTTACTTATTGATGTATGTCATTTAATCAACCTATTAAACTGTGGGCCACATCCTAAGCTGGTGTATATAGCTATAGCTGTACTGATGTCAGTTTGTATCTGTGGCTGTGGCCCTGTCTGTAATTCTGTTTAGGAACAGAAGGCAGAAGCTTTGAGGCAGTGTGGTCTAGGGGACAGGGCACTGGCTTGATAATGAGGATAGTTGAGTTCTGTTCCTAGCTTAGCCACTGATCTCCTCTGTGACCTTGAACAACTTATTTCACCTTATTGTCTGTTTTCCCTCCCATTCGTTGTCTGTCATGTCTGTTTGTAAGCTCTTTGGGGGCAGGCTTCTACTATGTGTTTGAACAGTGCCTGTCTAGCAAAATGGAGTCCTGATCTTGGTTGGGGTCTCTAGGTGCTATTGTAATACAGATAACAACACGCTATGAAATAACTTACGTGAACAGACAAGATAGTATTTCAATTTTTATTATGAAGGAATTTTAGAGTAGAATTTCTGGATTTTCAAAGAACACCTCTTTCACAACAATAACAAAAACAACAAAAAGAAACCACTTTCCACTATGTGGTGTCTCTTGCATGGAAGGACTTCTCTAACAACTTACAGGATCATTCCTCACCAAAAATTCCAGGAGTCCTTTCTCAGTGAGGTTCACTTCCATTTTTCTATTAAAAGGTTAAAGAAAAATAATTGAGAAATTATTAGTATTATTTGTGTTGCAGTAGCACCTAGCAGCCTCAATCAAGGGTCAGTACCCCATTGTGGTAGGTGCTGTACATGCATATAACAAAGAGATGTCCCCTGTCCCAAAGAGCTTACAATATAAGTAAATGAAATAACAAGTAGTGAGCTGTTGTACTCTAAGATTATCCTTATCAAAATATCCCAGTTCCTTAATTTAGAAGTGAATTTTCCAAGTATAGCAAGTTCCTCTCAGGATAGTTGGAGAGAAGAAAGTGAAGTCAGGCTAGATGATAGTCATGAGTGCTGTTAGGCAAACCTTCTGTTTGTGAACTGAAGCAGTGAAGCACCTGTTTCATGCACAAAATACTGAGAGTTGGAGAGTAGATAGTTGACCAAGAAATACTGTCTCAAGGTGAGGTGAAGGATAACATTTTCAAAAATGTCTATGCTTGTCTTCACTGCAGAGTTAAGAACATCAGGCTGGAAAGACTTCCAGAGTCGAATCCAGTCCCCTGCTATCACAGGTAACTCCTTCATATAATCCCATTAAGAAACATGGGATTAAGCAGGTTAACTTGAACTCTTATTTGGGTGTTGCCTCTAACCCAGCTCCATCCACACACACAACCCTGTCACCTGAGTGAGGTGGTTCTTTACACATGAGCTAGCTGACCCATCCTGGGTTGTATGCTAAAGCTCAAGTTCTAGTAACCCACCCACTTTGCAGTGAAGATGCCGGCTAAACCACTCGAGTGCTGGGAGTCCTGTAGTGCCTTCCCACAAATCCCCATGTGCCAAGAAGTTCTCCCACAGTTCATTGAGACAGAACAATAGAGTGGCTCAGGTTACTGTAGTGCTAAGAACCAAAGAATATTCCCCCAATAGTCCTAGTGACACACACGGGTGAGTACAGCAGCAGTGTGGGCTGCAGTTGAGTGGACACACTCGGGTATAGCTTTGTAGCATGGCTGCTCACATCCGAGCTAGGCTAACTAAGTGCTCAGCAGGGCCGCCCAGAGGATTCAGGGGGCTTGGGGCAAAGCAATTTCGGGGGCCCCTTCCATAAAAAAAAGTTGCAATACTATAGTAACATGTATTTGGAAATGTAAAAAATACCCAGTGAAATACATTCAAAAATTAATTTTTAATAATTTGAAAATACACAAAATACATTATTTAAAAACATTAAATGCTTTAATGGTATGTATACATTTGCAATTACATAATGGGCTGTCGCTGGGTGATGGTGATGGTTGGTGCCAATAGGCTGTCGCTGCCTGGGGGTGGCGCTACTGTTGCCCAGGGCTGGGTGGGGAGCTGGGCTCTGGGTCGGGGGGTGTCCAGCTCAGAGGGGCTGGGCTCGGAGCTGGGGGTCAGGGCTGTGGGGGGATGGGGTCGGGAGTGTCTGGCTCAGAGGGGCTGGGCTCGGAGCTAGGGGTCAGGGCTGCGAGGGGATGGGGTCGGGGGGTGCCCAGCTCAGGGGGCTGGGCTCAGAGCTGGGGCTCAGGGCTGTGGGGGGCTGGGCTCGGGGGTGCCCAGCTCAGAGGGGCTGGGCTCGGAGCTGGGGGTCAAGGCTGGGGGGGGGAGATGGGGTCGGGGGGTGCCCGGCTCAGAGGGGCTGGGGGGCAGGGCTGGGGGGGGGATGGGGGTCGGGGGGTGCCCGGCTCAGAGGGGCTTACCATGCCGCCTCCCCCCTCTCCCAGAGCCTCAGCGAGCCGCGTCCAGGAGCTCCTGCCGCTCGGCCCGCCGAAGCTCGCAGCCCTGCTCCCTTACCACGCGACTCCGAGCGGGAGGACCTCAGGCCCCGCCCGAGCCACGCCGCTGCAGTGCTGTCCAGGGCAGCTCCTGGATGTGGCGCGCTGAGGTGCCGGGGGATGGGGGAAGGTGGAGGCGGGGGGGGGGGGGAGCCGCCGACATTCTCGTGGGGGCCCCTGTGGGGCCCGGGGCAAATTGCCCCACTTGCTCCCCCCTCTGGGTGGCCCTGGTGCTCAGACCCCAGTGGCGATCACACGAGTGATTTTCTGAGTCTGAAGTCTGATTTTCAGAAATGACTTGGGCACTCAGGAGTGTACATACACCCGTGATCAAGTGTGATAGAGCTTTTAATTAAATTTGGATGGTGCGAGAGGGGGTATAGGTTACAGCTCAAGTGAGCACAACTTGTCAGTTGCTAACATAACTGCTCTTGAGTGCTGCTAGTCCTCCAATGCCTTCCCACAATTTCCCTCATGTGCCCAGAAAGGACACATAAGTACTCCCAAAATATACTGGTAAAGAATTCATAGAGCAGCTCAGTTTACTGCAGTGCTGAGAACCATGGGATGTGCCCCCAGAAGTATTAGCGCCAATATCAAGGGAGTGCAGTGCCAGTGTGGACACAGCAACTCAAGTGTTATTTTGCAGTGTGTTCACTTTCTCTTGAGTTAGGATAACATTAGAGGAGTAACTCAAGTGTAGGTAAGTTGAGACAATGCCACAGTGAAGACTTACTCTTTGTCACTTAGACGTTTTTGAAAATTTTATCCAAAGTCCTTCCATGCAAGAGACACTATAAAGTGGGCAGTGAACCTTAGCGGGATGGAGGGCAACCTATTTCTAGGTCAGTGAAATGCTAGCTGTATACAGAAAAGGAAATGTAATTTAAATACAATGAAGCAGCTGTCAAACTCGTAAGTACTTCAGTTCAGTATACACGTGTGACTATTTCTAGCCACAGCTAAGTTAGGGATGTGTTACCTAAAGTTTTTAGTTAGGTTTTCAGAGCAGTGGGAAAGTAGGGAAGATATTTTGCCTCTCAGAATACCAATAGTGAATTCATAAGGAAGAGTAAATAATTTCAGTATGGTGTATAGGATCCAGAGTCCTACTTAAGTCAATTTTTTTTGTGTTTAAAAAAAATTCTTAGGTGCACAAAATACTGTACATCAAGGAAAGGGGCTGTTATTCCTTGTCAATGCATCCCTCTATTAAGAATAAAGAAGTGGGGAAAAAAGTAAAATCAGTACAAAGAGAAATTTAACAAACTGGCCTGGCCCGCCAGGGGCTTTGCTACACAAGCGGCGACCCCAGTTTGAGAAACACTGGATTAGAGGTCAGATTTATAGCACTGGCAATCACAGAGACAGAAGAAAACACCAAAGTGATTAAATAATTTGAAACAAGCTTTTATCAAAATCTTCATATCATTGGCTTTCTACACCTCCCCTGCAGTTTCTCTCTGTACATTTAGGAACTATAATATGTTTTTAAGGACCGCACCACATTAGTTATCCAATTTTCAAACTGTTAATTATAATTTGCAAACAAAACTGTTGCTGGGCTTGACTGAGGGCTGCTAAATATGTAACAAAATATAGATCACCATTAAGAAAATAAGGAGAGGGAGTATGCTTCAGCCATGAAAACTTCCTCAGGCTTTGAATAAAATAATCTGACCTTCTTTTCAAACCTACTGCATTGTTCAACAATCTGAAGGAGAGCAAAAAATGTCACCTCTAATCTTATGTTCAAGTTCTAAGGTGTATTTTATTAACTCCTTTTTATTGCTCAGTTTAAATATACTAATTGGCATATAGTAGATTTACAGCTACTAGATAGCTATTATTCTTTAATGTGTTTGTAATGGTCTATAATATTATGGCACTGGCAGATCTCATCTATTTCTTCATTTATAATGACTCATGATGATACGAGCTAAGTAGGGCATAAGAACACAATGGTTAATACCAATCAAAGACTAAAAACTATCTCTGTCCATCTTCTTTAAAAACTGTTCAGAAGTGGACATACTAGAATCTCGTATAAATAGCACCTAGTCAAGACATTCAATTTGGGTGTGTTCTCCCCACTGAGAGACACCTACCCCCTTGTGCAACTAATGAAATCTACACAACCACCACCCTACCGCATGCTCAGCCTCTCTGTATCCTCCCATAGAAACACACTTCTGCTACAGGAACACTCTGAGACATCTATTCCTGGGTGCTCCCAACCTGCCAAAGGCCATCCCACAAAACATGCACCCGTTCATGCAGGTTTCCCCCGTGTCACATCTGCCTCACCCACACTAATTGTTTTCCTCTTTATGATAAACTTGACCCTTCGATATAAGACCCTGGAAATGTCTGCCTTCCCTGTGTAGTCAGACAGAACACAGTAAGTACAGAATAAAGAGGAAAAGTGTGAAGAAGGTAGCATAACAGATTACAGATGGGGAGGGGACACAGTACTTGGGAGATGAACTATGTAGCACCAGCTGAAACTTAAAGTTGCCTTTCCCTGTCAAAAGGCAGTGTCAGTTCTGCTGCTTCTTGTCTGGGACATACCTGGCACATTGGAAGTGGGTGGGGGGGCAAGGTTGAAAACTCTGAGGCCCAGGGATGAATTGATCCCATTGCTTGCATTACCCACAAAAAATATTTGCTAAAAAAAATAAAAAATAAACAACAACCCACACATGGAGACCCCTATGCCTGGTGCAAAAGAAAAAGTTACCCAAGAGAACTTTGTGCACATGGGAGTCTGACTTTTTCAGAAATGTTTTAAGTTATGTTTTTGTGAATTCCTGCAACTTTCTCATTCGGGACATGATCCTGCTCCCATTCCTGTTAATGAAAAAGCTCTCACTGACTTGAATGGTGCAAGATCAAGCTGTTGAGCTGCAACCTCCCTCTTCCCTGAACCTGTTGCTTCATTTTTGACTTGGCTATCTTGTAGGCCTAATTTGGATGTGTGGACCAAAAATCCAGAGAGTCAATTTTTGGGGAGGGAGAAAGTAATGGATTATAAGACACAGTTATAAAGTGCCTGAAATGGAAGTTTGCATGCTTTCACATTCCTGCTGGTGGACGAAAAGGACATTCCAGCTGCACTTCTGTGAATCAGACAGCAGATATACACAGCAACAACAAACAAGTGTCCAATCCCCATGTATGCATGTTTGACTCTTGCAGTTCTATTTATTCTTTTGCCACTAATCAAAAATACAATAAAATAAGCCTTTTAATTTGAATCGGGTACATGTTCTTGATAGCTAAATAAATGTCATCCAGGAAAAAAAATCCTGACTTCCACAGGATACTTTTTAATTAAATTCAAAAAGTTTAAAACATCATGTTTTATGACACTTAGGAAAAGACTAATATAAAACTACAGAAATCTGGATATCTTTCTACTACTATATAAATACCTCTTTCTCCATTCTGAGGCAAATGTAAAGGCCACAAGAAGATTCATATTCCCACCCACCCGGTTTCAATATACTTCACAGAATTCAATGTGAAAGAATCATTGTGTTCTTCCAGAAAAATCCTTATTAAGTCTAGGTAATTAATTCTACACATTTAGTCATAGAATCCTCCTTTTATAATCCTCAATTACAAACCTGTGTCTCTGGAAATTAAAATAATGTGCTTATTATAAATATTTTCACACAAAAGGAAAGGAAGGTTATGTGAGTGATTTTTATGAGAAAGGAAGGAAAGAAGTCTCCCAGTTTTCTGTATTCTTAATTACAAGTGATTAG